CAGTTGAATTATCATTTACCTTTTGCTGAGTTTATTCTTGATTTTCATGATAAAACTAAATCAATTTCCCATGGCTATGCCTCTTTTGATTACCAAATAATTGGTTTTCATCCCAGTGATATTGTAAAAATAGACATTTTATTAAATAATCAACTAATTCCCGATTTATCTTTTTTGGTACATCAGAGTTTGGCTTATGAAAGAGCCAAAACGACTTGCGAGCAATTAAAAACTACTCTCAATCGGCAAAACTTTCCCGTTCCGATACAGGCCATTATTGGCAACCAAGTAATTGCCCGAGAGACTTTGTCCGCTTTAAAAAAAAATGTTATATCTCGGATTCATGGAGGTGGGGCTTTAGACCGAAAAATGAAACTCTGAGCCAAACAAAAAAAAGGCAAGGCTCGCATGAAAGAAGTAGGTAAAGTGAATTTTGGGGCCGGTAATTTAAGAGCACTTTTAAAAAACAATAATAAATAAATTAACAATATGACAGTTGCAAAAAAAAAAAAAAAACATTAGTAATCATTAGCATTCTCCTTGGGGCGGTGGCCTTGATTGGCGGCAGTTTTTGGTTGGGAAAGATGTCTGCCAAAAGCCAATCGCCAACCTCCCAAAATAGTCAATCGCCCAGTGATAATTCTGAAATCCAGGTCTTAAAAACACAACTAAAAGAAGTCAAAAATCAACTAAATAATTTAACCGACGAGCCTCAGAAAAATCAATTAGAGGACAAAATAACGGCACTAGAAAATAAAGTAAAAAATCTGATTAACCCGGATAAATCAACTATCCAACAATTAGAGCAGGAAATTAAAGAGATTAAGGAGAAGTTGGAAAATAACGATAAACCCGACCGTAATCCTCCACCAACCGATAAGACTGAAATAAAACTTCGTTATGTTGGCGAGGCCGATAGTGAAGAGATGGCTTTTAATAATTTTTTCGGAAAACAAAGTAGAGAAGATTTAAGACTTTTTTATATTAGCCGAAACCACCCGCAAATTAAGGAACTAATAAACCAAGACAAATTACAAGTGGATAAGGTTTTTATCGCTCGCTATGGAAAAGTCGACCACATTAGCCCCCACAATTTGATGTATATTTTTAATGAAAACAATCAAGAATTAGAGATTAGAGAGGCCTAAAATAAAAATGACAGTAAGCAAACTTTATTCTATTTCAATATTCTTAACCCCGGACCCATAGCAGTAGAAAGAGTTACATTTTTCAGAAATTCTCCTTTTCAACCGGTTGGTTTTAATTCGGTTATTTTGTTATATACCACTTTATAATTTTCGGCCAATTGTTCGGAACTAAAATTACTACTGCCGATTACGGCCTGAATATTACCTCCACTATCGGTCTTTAGTTCGGTTTCTCCTTGTTGAAATTTAGTAACCTCTCCTAGCATATTCTCAGTTAGAGAACCATTTTTTTTGGTCGGATAAAGCCCTTTGGGACCTAGCAATTTTTGCAATGGTTTAATTGCTTCTTCTCCGGCCGAATGAACCAGTATTTTGTTAAAACTTCAACGAGATTTTTTTTGTTTCTCTACTTGTTGGCGAACTTCGGCGACAGTCAATAAATTGACTTCACTATTCCTTTGACATTCTGCCAAAATATCCTCAGGCAACCCCTCTTTAATTACCGCTATTTTTCTTTTCTGTTTAACCACATAAGGCAAAACTAATCTAGTTTTAAAGACGTTTTTTTGCTTAACTCAATGGAGAGAAAAACTGACTTTGATATTTTTTAATTTTTCGGGATTATTAGTCCGCAAAAATTCGATTGCCTCTGGCAAATCATAATGTTTATTAACGATTTTTTCTTTGATTTCTCGATAACGACGGGAATGTTTCATGATATATTAAATTTTATTATTGGAGGAGTGGCGAAAAACGATACAAATTCGCCCCCATTTTTGCCCTTAAGCCCGCTGCGTCTACCAATTGCGCGATGTGGGCTGACAAACCTGGCAGAGGCGACAGGAATTGAACCCACAT